GGGCTTGCGGCGCAGCGCCTTCAGCGTTACAGGTTGAGCCGCCCGGTTTGTCCCTGCATCATTCAGGGCTTCTTGAGCTGTTGAGCAATCAATTGCCAATGAGCTGAACTAAGCCCAAACACCTTCCTTCCCCAGAGGTCGTGTCGATGGTTGTACCTAACGGCATCGTGGCACAGAGCCTGCTGATGTGCAACCCATACGCTATACAAAAAAAGAGGCAGTATGCGGTGCCACGTCAAATTGAGGGTTGCTCGGGACGGTAGCAGCCGAAGGCATGTTCAGGACCGGCGCGGAGTAAGACGATGTAGGATCCAATCGCACCGACAAGACCTTTCGAAAGGAGACACTCAACACCTGCCACAACTATCATGAGTTGCCACAAGCTACGACAGTCTGCCCACTCACCTGACAGGACACGATACCGAGGGTTTGGGACAGGAGAGATTTTGAAATCAATAGCGTAGTCAGCATGGCAGTTCCGGTACTGCAGAGTGCAGCATGCGGTCTGCAGTCTACCTACTGTGGTGATATGGGTAAGTAAAACCAATGGAGCAGGTCGTTGATGATCTCTGGTCCTCGAGTGGCCATACAGAAACAGGAAGCTTTGCTTGTACCTGTTCGTGCACGATACCCGACAAGGGGGTTTTACTTTGGCTCGCAACCACAGTACCACCTATGACCGTCCTTCCGCCGGCTTCTTCTCAACCTGTCAGAACTTAATGAGCTGCATCCCGAAAAAGAGATGTGTCGAGGTTGGTTGAGTAGGTATTCGTCGTCCGTCTAGGGTACCCGAAAAGATATCTTTCTGCAGCTTCCGGGTCCTGAGAGGCTCCGCTCCGCTCAGGTGAGCGGTGACAGCCAGTCAGCCAGCAACGCTCAGTGGTGGGCTTTGGTTGTTGGTGGACTGGTACCAGCCATTCAACATGGCGTGGAGCCCTTTTTTCATGCATTGCCAGCGGTGCGGGTGTGCAGTGATGCCACTGGAGGTGCGCTCGCGGCGGTGGAGAGAGACGGAGCGAGAGAGAAAGAGAGAGAGGGTCAGGGGATTGAGAAGAAAAGGCTCCGAGGAGGCCGGGGAGTGGTTGCGCGCAGTGCTGATAAGGGGGGAAAAGAGAACAAAAAGCAAAAAACAGCGAGAAAAAAAATAACCGAAAACCACGCTAGGGGCAGTGACGGACTCTCGACGCCGTACCACATGATGATTTGGTCGTGGACAGTGCAGGACAGTGTTTCCAGGCGCTCGGTATCCTTAGCACCGGCTATAAGAATACTCCCTTCAAAGTGCAAACAGCTCTAGCACTCCAGGAGAGAGCTCACAGGATATGTGCTTGAGGGAGTTCTTGAGCTTGCTGGTATCTCACTCCCATGCAAAACTGAGAATCCAGGCTGCCAAAGTTTGCTGGGACACTTGTATTTGTTGGCAATGGGGTTCAGATGTCTTATTAAGCGCAACTCTTGTGAGTTGTGCCCGAGAGGTTTGCACTTATGGGAAGTACTCCCATATTGAGGGCCAAGGTTACCGAGCGCCTGGACACACTGTCCTGCACTGTCCACGAGAAGCACGCCCGTTGGCTGAAGGGGACTGGGGTTTCATTTTTGGCTTGAGCCGAGAAAGTGATGGAGACACAGCAGGAACGGGCGGAGGGAGGAGGTGGACAGATTCGTCTCATTTGCTCATGCCGGCGTCCCCCTAAACCCCCCTCATTGCAGGTGTCTTTTGGGTTTGCTGGCCTTCCTTTTGTTCGACAGGTAGTCGACGATTGTTTCCCGTTCAGATCTTCACTGGCGATCAATGGCCATGGCTGAGGTCATTCATCGCATCGCTACTCGTTGCCAATGCGATGCAGTGCAGCGCAATGAGTGAATCAACTCCTGCGCGCAGGAACAAGAGACACCACACAAGAAAAGGGAATGGCCGCGCCGAAGGAAGGATTCACCACAGCAGGGAAGGATGCGCCCAGGCGTCTACACGTACACGACGAGATCGGCTCATGCTGTGCCGCTCTGGATCCATCTGGACAGGCTGGAGTCCAGGAACCATGTACCCACGTATCGCGTTACTGCATAAGTGGAAGTCACCAAGTCCCTTCTCCAGTTTTCACCAAGTCAGTCGCTATGTTTATTGGCCATCCCGGACCGAAACTGTCCACTCAACCCCCCCATTTCCCTTCCACCCTTTCCCCTTCCCACTCTTTTTATTTTTTTAACCCACCAAACACCCCTCACCTCTGTCGCCATTCGCAATGGGGACCACTGCTTTCCAGTTTCCAGCTCACAGGTTCGACACTGGAGCGAAAGCTGCAACTCGCACCTTCCCGATTCTGGATCGGCGGGCATGAGGACACCATCGATGGTCACCTCAGGAGCTCAGTTTCCTATCGCGCTTTCAATGGTCCTGTCATTGGGGGTTGGAAACAGTGGGCGCAGTGTGCCGCAGTAACGGTTGCCTTTTTGCGACCGGAATACCTACCTATACGCATTATCCAGGACGTCGGAACCAGAAGCGCTTGGAAACGGCCTGTCCAACGCAGGTTGGCGCGGTTAAAGCGACAGAGATTGTGTGGTGTGCGCAGCAAAAAGCTAAACCCAGGACCGCCGATATTATCATGTGATATAACGTCTCCATGATCCCGAGGGTCAACGGACGGGGATGACGGATTGATGATGGGGGGGGGCAACGGGCTAGGGGTGATGGGTAGGACGGGATCTGCTAACCCTCGACAAGAGAATCGAGAGCCTACAATGTAACCCGGGGAACGGAAGCACATCATCCAGACGAGCAATGCCAGACTTCAATGGCACTCAATGGCACTCAATGAGACGTCGATGTCGATGATGCTGCCTCGCAATCAAGGGGGGGAAATACTTCCCCGGCGTTACAATGGCACACCACACCTTCTCAGTTCCAGCACACCTACCTACAACTCAACACACAACACGCAATTTTCGACACAACTTTGGCCCATTCATTCCCCCATTTCATTCAGTTTGCTCCTACCCTGCTTTGCCTCTTTTTGCCCGGGTAAGTGGGTCCTCTCTTTTTCTCTTTAGCAGGAAACAAAACGGTACGCTATACGCTATTGACGAACCCATTCCAACAGAATGGGGATGATCCCATCAACCCACAACAAATTACGGGGTCTGCCGCGCTCCCTCCCCCCCGTGTCGTCTACTTTGGTTAACGTTCTACAGACACCCAGATCCACAATAACGTCCATGTACTCTCGGGTGCGCGCTTCAAAGAAAAGGCATGAAGCAGGTAGGTACCTGGGCCGGGTGCGTGCCTGCGCAGCCTCATTCTTGTAGTTAAGGTAGGCTGTATTTTGACTGCTTTACCTTTTAAGTGTTGCATTGGATGATAATGTCTTGGGTTTTACAAATCTGGTCACCTTCTTTGGTCGGCTGTGTGTACCTGGTGGGAGGCTGTTCAGCCCCGTAGCGCGGCCCTGCTGAAGAGTTTCGACGAACTGAACGAGGGGAAACGGAACACAATAAACCACAAACCACAAACCACCACACACGAATGGGGAATGGATGGGGACTCGGATCCAGTCTTCAGTTCTCTGGGCAAACCTACCACTGTCCGGGGCAAGCCGGGACGTGGATAGACATTCTATATGCAGTTTGGCGTGTGGAGTGGAGGCCCGTCCCCATCACAGATGTAGGCCTGCAAGTCTACAAAGAAAGAACACAAGCCTCGCAGGGCATACTTTCTTTCTAACTTAAGCAGTCACTGGCCGGGACAGGGGCTGGAGTCTTCCGTGTCGGTACCGCGGGTCGTCGACCTTGCTCACTGACACTCACTGCCTTTCCACTTCTTTTCGTCTTCTCTTCTCTTTCACGACGGTCACTATCAGGCAATTATCCCACAAGTGTTTCTTTTCTTTTTACTGCATATTTCTACACCCTACCTACCTACCTCTTTCTTGAGCACATCTCACCGAGTATTCTTCAAAGAGACAACGATACTCATTCCTCGCTTGACAACGTCGAAATAGGCTTACTGCATAGGGGCAACAGGCCGGTCAAGTTGTTTGCGAGGTGGTGCGCGAGGCAGCATGGCGTGCGTGAAAGAGAAGATAAAATGCGACCCCCCCCCCCCCCCCCCACAGTCCCACGGCTCTAATATGTATCGTGGTACCTCTGGGAATGGCACTGCCCAAGTATGCACCCTACGTACCTCTATTAGCCCAAATACACGTTCCATACAGCGCCCAGGATCCATTATGGACGCCTTCAAACCCATCCACCTTCATCCACAACGAAGACATCCTAGCAGAGGAGCGCAGACCCTGATGCCACTACTTCGAGTCTGGCCTCGTCTTCTTCTCTAGCAAGCTGCAAGCCCTTCGGTTTGCCTGTTCCTGCCCCATCCACGTCCTCGTCCCCTTATCCACATCTCCATTTCCTTGCCTGCACCGAGTCCACCGTGTTCGGTACCCGTCCGAGGATCTCCGTCTACTCGCTTCTCAGAGAGTACTTGAATGCCCCATTGCTCGCTTTTTTCTGCCATCGTGATCCTCAAGGCTTCAGTTCTCGACCTTGATCAACGCCATCTTTCGATTCCCCCCAAGTGTTCCAACAAACACCCCTCTCGGGAATAGCTTGCATCGATCACCCTGCCGACCTCGACGCATACGACGGCGATACCAAGGACGATACCACCTAGGCCCGTCGCTTCACATCGCCTGAATCCCTCAGTGCCACCCTAGTCGACCGTTTTTGGCGGGGCTTTGCTGTTCTAGAGAACCCGACTGTGTGGTTCAGGCGTTTAGTTTAGGCACTGGTTGATAGGCCTCCTGCGAATCACGGCCCAGAGCTTGTTCTGGCAGCACGTTTGCTTTTGCCCTCGCCAGTATTAAACCTACAATCAAGTACCTCCCAAGGTCCCGAGACCAAAACGATATCCTTCTGCAGCTCTTTCTCCCTCTGGCTGTTCTTCATCGTTTCCCCCCCACCCAAGCTACTATACCATACAAACATACATTACTCATCTCATCATGCTCTACTTAAACAAACGCTCTCCTTCTGAGGAGTTGGCCTCTGTTCACAACCCAAATTCTCCCAGTGGTACCTCTACTTGGCACCATTCTCTAGACGACCAGAAGATGACGGAGGTAGTCGCATACCCTCAACCACAACACCTCTACCACTTCGGTGGCTCATCACATCGTTTGCTTGCCCCTGCCCCTGAGCAAAAGTCCCCTTACTTCTCTCCGGATCTATATCGCGAGATGCCCGTCTACCCCGTCGGCTACCAGACCACATCTCATCTGGCCAGGTCTCCCCCAGAGGCTCGCTCGGCTTCGGTCTCGAGTATATCCTCCGCGGCCTCCCACGGCACACCTAACATGTCTTCCTCCCGGACCATGTCACCAGTCGCGGACTCCAACTCGTCTGACTCCATGGCTAGCCCCCCGGTCTTGACCAGGACGTATAATCCGCCGTCGTCCTACCACCACACACAGCAGCAGCACCATCACACCTCTCAGGCGCTCCCTTCGTCGTTAATCCCGGCCCCATCACATTACTTGCATGCTCAGGTCGCTCCTCCGCCACCAATGTCGCTCTACCCTTCGATGCCGGTCCCACCACAACGAACAACGACGTACCCATCCTCATCTTCATACGGGTACCACCAACATATGGGCCACCCTTACCCATCCCAGCAGCCTATGCACAACTATCATCAGGTTCCAATTCATAACTATCAACCAGTGTACACCTACAACACCAGCGCACAGACCTATCCCAGCCTTTCAGCAGGCACAATACTGCCTTCCTTCCCGGGGTCTTCCGTCATGACACTCCCACAAATACAGCGTCACGAGAAGGCTCCCATTGAGCGTTTACTGGACGGAAACCGCAACATCATGCAGATGATCCAGTCACACCTGGACTACTTTGACGTCATCAGGGCTCAGATGGTGAACCGGTTCTTCAAAGACCACTTCGACCCTTCCCTGTGTCCCGAAGAGGACAAGATCCGGTGCGTCATGTACGCCGAGATCAACTTCAAGCGGTTCTGGCCCAACAATACTTCGTCCGGCGGCCGGGGCGGCGGCGACAAGGATGACGGCAAGCACCCTGGTTCCTTTGGGTGCTATCACTGCTTCAAGGTCAAGAACCCCGAGAACTTTGAGCTGTTCAGGTGGAAAAATGATCTGGAGGATGCCCCTGACAACAACAATAACAACTCGAATAACAACTCCAATAACGACAGAAACAGCCAACGGGGTTCAGTCTCCTCAGCTGCCTCATCACGCCAACAACAACAGCAGCAACAACAGCCACAAAACAACCCCCCCACTCTCCCCTTCCACATCCTCCACCTCCTCCCACAACACCCAATTCTCCCTAACCTCCAACCCGCACTACGACCCCTCCGTCACGCGCTCCTCCCTCGCCGCCGCCGCCGCCGCCTCTTCATCCAGACAATCCGGCAACGGCGGCAACAACAGCAACAACGGTACGCGCCGCACCGCCTCCACTGGCTACAGCTCATCGGACCAATCCCCGCGCATCCAAGAAACGTGGGGCATCCGCCGGTTCTGCATCGACTGTGGCATCAAGAAGAAGTTTTACCGCCCGGGAGTCCTGATTGAGCTGCATAAGGAAAAGAACGCCGTGTGGGTGTGCGATTGCTGGGTCACGCATAAGAGACCGCAGGAGCTGGATTGCAAGGTTTGTAAAAAGATATTGCCTTTGAGCACGCCGAATCGGAGGAGGAGTTAGTTAATTGGGCACGTAGGCTGATGGGTTTTTTGGGGGCGTTTGTTAGTGCTCGATTACCTCTAGAAAGGCGAGGGCATTGATGGGCCAAGGAGAGAAAATTGGGTTGGGGTATTGATTAGTCGGCTGTGTCTTGGGATTTTGGAATAATGTTTCTTGCTGGAAGGCGTTCGAGTGGTAGGGAGGATTTAGCGCTGTATTTTCTTACTCTTCTTCTACTGTCCATCATTTTGGGTTTTGGGTGTATGGATCTTCTCTTCTGGAATATTTACTTTGTTTACACATACATCCCTCCTTCACTTCGTTGTGAAGAAGGGTTTTACTACTACAGATACCACATTATTCCCTTCGTCTTCTTCTTCATCATAGCTTCTTTCATGTTCAAATCATTATAGCATGCTACCTAACGGTTGCAATTTTGGATGGATTGGTCATCTACATTCCCACATACTTATTAGGGCGGCAAAATCTGATCTTTCTTCTTGACTCACGGCATGTATGGGATTTGATACCGATATGATACCTGCTTTTCAAACCATCATTGAGTTTTCATGTATCTACAATTCTTGGTACATTGTCATTTGCAAATATCGGAATCTGGATCTGACACTACACTACGTTCTGAATAAACCCCTATTCTAATGGTTGCATTACTTGTGAATAGCTTCATTTGCCATTGCCAAAGCAAGCATTTTTGGGGGTCGATGGCTAGGTATCATTTCGAATACGTGAACACCTTACCACGTTTCTTTGCTTCTTACTGCCCTCCCTTGCTTTTCGCCTTCATCTTGAAACCACCGTATGGAGGTACATATGCAATTCACACGCATCAAAAAATTCGCAGTCAACAAGCATACATAGTAGTAGGATGAAGTTTGTACAGATTGTCCATAACAGGTGATGCGGTGATCAATCCTTGGAGTTTCCCCCTTGATTTGATGACGAGATGCAAACTCAAACTCAAACTCAAACTGACATCGATGGCGTTGACAAAAGCTTTGTTTTCTTACCGCATGCGGTTGGTTTTACGTTTGGGTTATGACGATCTCTACGTCTTGTTTGCTGATCATGACGATGGATGCAACACTCGCATAATGTTGAGATACCTTCTTCCTAGGAGCACGTATTGTTCCTACTGCACTGCTGATTCTCAATAGCTGTGTGCCTATGTACGTATTGTTTATTGGCCATGATGTCGTAAGTTTAGAGTGCTGATAGAGGCACGCAATGCGCCTCCTTCTCGCAGTGATGGTCATCAGGGGCATTGTTACCCGCTTTATGCTGACCATTGACGCTTGGTGACCTCCCGCGTTGCTAACTTGAGTTCCCGCTTGCCTGTACAAGTACGTGAATGTGATGGGGGCCGTTTTGGTTTGGGTTTGCTTATACGAAGAGGTCTATTGTATGACCATCTGTATGTTTTCTTTGTTCCCCTTATGAAGACAGATCCGTGGAGTCGGATTGATTGATTGATTGATTGCTTGCTGGCTGGCGTCATTTCTTCCTCCTTTTTTTGCTTCCCCGGAATCATCCATACCTGCCCTACATACATCCTGTTTCATGAGGACGGCGATTACAAGGTGCAACGGCGACCACGGCGACCATGGGACCACGTAAGGCAGAAGGGACGCCGATGCAGTGCAGTCAGTTCTCAGTTTGCAAAGACCGGCGTATGCAGGGACGGGATCAAATCATGGAGAAAACGTGGTGTTTGAAGCAAGGGAATGGATCGACTGTGTAAACTTCAGGGAAGCACTCACCTCGAGTCATCAGGATATCTTCAAATTTGCTGCCACCCACAGGTGTCGTGACAGAGAACGGCGGTGCCTCCGGTTTTCGTGGCTTGAGAGGGCGTTTCTGACAGTAAGGTATTGTCTACCTGTCAGATTGGAAAGGGTAATTGTGTCGCCGCAATTTCCTTGCGGTGTTTTCCCATTCTTCCTTCCCTTTCCACTTGCTTGGCTTCCATTGTTATCCTTGCTCATCTTCTCCCTTCGTTCGTTTTACATGTGCAGACCCCAGACCACAATGTACACCTAGGTGAGTTTCCATGTAACCGGTGTCAGGCCTCAGTTACCCGGACTGTCGCTGCTCTCAACAGAGTTGCACTGACAGTTAGGAACCTCAACCATCCCTTCCACCACCCAGACAAGCCACATACATAATCCCTCCCGCCCTTGATAACGACAATTAACGTCTGTTCGTATTAACATGGACCTTTCTTCTGCCTTACCTGACAAACATACCAAAAAGCTCACTTCCTATTCGCGGACCATGGAATTTTGGACAGCCACGGGTAAGCACCTAATCATAGCCTTTCCATGTTCGATGTCACTCTGATCCAGTGATTTACCACGGTAGAAGAGAACCGGAGGGACATGATGCAGAAAGAGACAGCTCGCGACAGGCGCGTGGTAGTAACAAACGCGCGTCAATCACCAACAAGGAGAAAACTCTTCTCTATTGCAACGTTCTTTCGTCATGGTAAGATACCCCTTTTCGCCATATATATGTGTCTCTATGTCACCCGTACTTTGGTTCGTGATAATCAGTGACTGGTTAAAGGTAGCGAGGCTGTAGATCACGAGGACGTATGAGTGCTATGTGATTCCATGTATTATGGGCCCGTGGTACGAGTTGCATTATCCCACTGCCACGATCTTCCTCCCACTAGACTTGACGGCCTTGAGACAACACTTGTCGAGAGCAGAGATGGGCCCAACTAGGGCAAAGGTTGGATTCGAAAGGTTGCGAATAGCTCGAAGCCCCCGAGTCCAGATTAAGGGGCTCACCGACTCATGACTCAACACGCACCATCTGCATTTCGATTGTTGCACTGGCGTCTGGCGTAATAACAAATAAGAGTAGTTACCAAACTGTCGGGATTTGATATCTGATATTTGGGACGCTTGCACTTGTTTGCTTCCGGTTCCCCTTAAACCGGCTAAACCATTTCAGTAAGGAGCTGAGGAACTTTGCTCCTTCCCTGTATCCCGTGCCCAGAAGGTATTGGGCAAAATAAGGAAGATTTCATTGGGAGGATGCGGTGGGGAGGCAGGGACTGTGACATGGCATGATTTTGCTGTGGCTCTGTGGTTCGGCGGCTAATCAACGAAGCGTTCGCCGCGGCACTTCCCTTCAGCCATCCCGGGGAAGATGTCTTGGTTACGGGATTTTATCTGCTTGTAGTAATATTCCCGTTGTAAATGGACCCCTATGAGCACTAGTAGGTGGGGAAGATGTGAATCCGGGGTATGTCATTGAAGGTGAGGGCAAAGAAGAAAAGAGCAGCTTATCTCCTTCCAGGCACTCACAGAGCCATTGGAAACCTCACTTGGGTATGGGATAGGTTCACTTTGAAGATCCAGTCACCTTGTCACCCCTGTCATCATCTCGGTTATAGAGGGCATCGGCACGTCGGCACTGAAGACCTCTGTTCGCCTCTTCATTCGGTCCCGATGTGAGTAAGGAAAAACTTGGTGCCATGTTACCTAGGCCCGTATAAAAACTGCAGCTTGCATGCAGCTATCTCGAAAAAGACGTCAAAATAACCATGGACTTGTGAGGGACCAAAGACAGGAAGAACAGAAGACGGTGTGTATTGATACCTGGCCTTCATGTATAAGGGCCCTGTAAGGAAAAGCAAGGGATGTCGTAGGCCAATGAGAAATCTCTTTCTGTTCTTGGACGGACGTCATTCGTGGCCGGGTTGGGATGGTGGCCGGCCTGTGGCTTTCAAGGACCGTCTTTGAGCCAGGCTCTTGGGCTCAACACGAGGCTGGGCTTCCAGCTAGGGGTCTGGTCCACTACTATGGTAGAATCTGTCTTCAGCCCATTCTGATAGCAAACAGTTCTTACTGTGTGCTGTATGAATGAACCGACATTCCGTGAAGCGCTTAACGCGGCACTTTCGGACGCTCATTGGCAGGGAGCTGTAATGGCTGTTGTGACGCGATGTCGGTGAAACGTATATCTGGCCGTGATAAGTTTAAGGTTGATGTTGTACATCCGTTCACACCATCGAACGGCCGACCAGACGCTTTTCTGTTCGGTACGGACTTGGATCCAGGAGGTGCCATCCGGTTAAGAAAAAAGGCGCCATCTCATGAACATCGTCTCGTTGACGGAACCGGAAGCCTATGCCCGGCGACTCAAATTCCAAATAACGGGCAAATTTGCCGGCTAGCCGGTGTCATAATCGAACGGTGAGGAGACCAGAAGAAGGCCGAGGGAGTCTAGTCGGCGACCTGTACCGTTCTGTCGATCCGTAACCATTCGCTCTCAGGAGACTCGACGTCCAGGCTAACTCCTTTTAAAATCGTTCAAGGCCATGGTCGGTGAGGTGCGCAATGTCGGTCTGTGTTTTTTTTTTAGACGAATACATTGCGCTAGGAACGGCTCTCACCTTTGCGGCTTGTGATGGTTAGCTGCGGACGACAAGCAGCTAGACCGAATGAGAGAGAAGAGACTCGACGATCTTGACGCCATCTGATTAGACGGAACGGTTTGCTAAGCCCAGCCGCGGCTGGCGCTTAATTCGGAGCAAGTTGACATGGCTGAAGGTATGACCGCTGTGGGAGTAAGAGCGAAAGAGACCAGGATTCGGGACCAGCAGTCCAGCATGTTTGGGTTGAATGAAAGGCCGCATGAGTAGCAACGCCTCTTTGGATGCTGGCTGTAGATGTGTTCGGAATGAGGCGCTGGCGAGCAAGTGTCCAGTGAGTGGTAGACATGTATTGGTAGGAATTGGCGAGGTTGCAGATGTGGCTCAAGTAACATGATTTCGAATAGCTGCAAGCTTCTGGTTCGCGGACCAGGCCGGGAAGAGAGCAAATCTGTGGAGTGGAGGAGTCGCATCCTCGCAGCTGTGAAGAAGATTGGGGTCAGCAGGGATGCAACTAAAGGGGTTTAGTGTTTGCTTGTATGGGATACAGGGGTAGTGGGCAGTGTTCCGGGCCGCATCACTACAATTGAATATGCATGTAGCGAGACTGCGCCCTTGTTGACATCGTCGCTCGTCGGCGTCGGGTCGTGCACTCCCTCCGATTGACATCACCAACGTCAAGACTAGAAGATAATACCGAAGCAACAAGAATCTTCAGAAGAGTCTCTTGTTCGTTCGCAGCACTCCAATCGACACATGAGACCGAACTCGAATAAAATGACAGTGAGGAGCTGCAAGGTCTTGTTTGATGAGCCCGGACTATTTGCAGCAAACCGCCGGAAAAAGATACTAAGCCTGGCGATGGCTGAAGATTCGAAGCGGTCGGCGACGGAGCTCGGTTCCCCCCCAGGTGGTGGTGTGTAGCCGGTAGGGTGGCATCATCATGGCAGTTGGTTGGACATCAAACGGTGGAAAGCTTCAGGTAGATGGGAGATGACGGCTGCTTGGGCAGTTTGGCTGCCACACATTAAGGATCACAACCCGACAGGACTGCCGTGGGCTCGATGCTTGGATGGATCTGGAGAGAAACCTGGAAAAAATAGTGTTTGTGGGAGCAGAGAAGAGATTTCTTTGGCTGGCTGTGGATGCCATGGTCACACCTTCCCCGTTGACGTGCACCTCAGAATCTTGAGGCCGGCTTGTGCATTCCTAGACTTCCCATCTTCATTACTCTGTACCTTCCAGTGTTGCTTGCTATTCCCCGTTCACCTTACACGATGGATAGCAGGGAAGGTATCTTCCTCTGGTCACCTGAAGGCGGCCAACAACTGAGCTTTACTCCCAGTCACTGCGCCCATCTTGGCTCCCAGCTTCTCCAACCTACGCTTTTCCCTTCCCGTCTTTTTCTCCCGCTTCGTTTCTTCTCCTTATTGGACTTGAATTCAATAAAGTTGCAATCATTGCTGATCCTATCTGCAGCAACGTCCATAAGGCCTGAGCCTGTCAACATCCATGGGCAAGATCCATGCCCAGACACCCACGAGACCACCAATCTGCTTTCAGCAAGCGTCATTGGATAGAGAACTGGCGCTCTCTTTGATGTGCTGCTCCAGACCGTCCTTCATGGCGAGAAGTACGGGTTCATCCATGCCGCCTCTGGCGCTCGTGACGCCACCGACAACGGTTCGAGCCTTGGAGATTACACAAGAAGGGCGGCACTCGGCCATGGCAGGCTTTGGCAGCTTCGCCGACACGAACATCACTGGTCAGTCACCTCTCCCCTGCATCGTACACACCCTCGCAATACACCGACCAAACCACAAATCTGGGGGCCGAGCAGATCCTCCAGCAGGCATGGGAGGGGGGGTACAGGAAAAAAAGGAAGAGAAGAAAAAGGATTGGCAGCTCCTGATATTGGCCCCTGTGGCTGCGCTATTGCAGAGCAACAAAATACCACCCCCTGTCTCCTTCCTAACACGGGAGGAACAGGGCCTGGTAAAGGAAAGGGATGTGAGCGGAAACGAAAAAGTTCCGGCTGCTGCAGGAGAAGACAGAATGGGTCGAGCCCGACATCAATTTAGAATTTTAGATTGTACTGTTGGTGATGAGAGACCCTTTCCCGCTTGTAGCTAATGCTCGACGTGCTCTTCTCGTCGTTAGCCTTATTGCTATTGCTGTTAAAAATAACAAATAACTCCGGGATCGTGTACTCGAGCTTACCTCCGGTTCGAAGACGGTCTTACGGACCCTAAGGTCTTCCGGTCATGGCTAGATAGGTAAGGGAGTCTACGGGACATCTGAGGTCCGTTCTACTTTGGCCGGACACCGGCGAGAAATGCCTTTGTGAGGAAAAACTTACCATCGCCCAAAAGGCCTCTGCTTCCACGAAGTTATCCGATCACCACGTTTTTGATGTTGCAAAGGCAGCAGATGTTTGGAATAGAGAACAGTGCCTCCGCACCCGAACAGGTGGTGGTGTAAGGAACAAAAATGTAAATGCCGTGGCACGCCGTTGCGGGTCACGATACGGCTGCCATTTCTGGATCGCCGATATGTGTCTGTACTCCTGATATCAGGTCACATCGGAGCAAAGGATAATCGGCCGGTGGCCTGTCGTCCTCCGAGGGTGACCGGTTGACCGTTGTGTGTTAGTGATGTGTCTGCTCATATGCACCTGGACGATTTGATAGGAGGATGTGGGAGAGGCAAAAGTGTGACAAGCACGCACCATGAAGACATGAGGCCCTGTTTTACCCCCGCCCCCTCCCCCCTGTTTCCAGAATATTCTTCTTCGGTGAAATCATCACATATCATCTTCTTGGAAGAACAGCCGAACGAAGATTGCTATTTGCTCACTCCTTGCAATGTCTCACTATCAGACGATTGGCATCTGTAAATGAGGGAGTATTCAGTGATTATCATAGAAGTTTGCTTGGCTGGCTGAAACTGCAACCCTCGAGCATGAAATGAATAACAATGGACTTGTGAGAAAGTGCACACAATGAGAGGCGACAAGGTCAAAAATTGCGAGTACGAAATTTCAGGAAGCAGTGAAAGACGAGAACAGAAAAAATGAGCAAAAAAGAAGAAAAATATTAGCTGCAACTCGTTTCGATCGAGTGACCTCCGGGTTATGAGCCCGGCGCGCTTCCGCTGCGCCATGCAGCTTGTTTTCTGATTTGATGAAAAATTTAGCGGATTGTAGGCCTTTTATCCCCACAGTGCGGTGAGTGGACTTTCTCTACAGAAACCTCACTCTTCACTTGATCCCCTTCGAAGAACAAAAAAAACAAAAAAGAAACAAAAGCATACATACCCATGAAAGCCAACAAAGGACACCGAGGGCAAATAAGTGCACTGTACACCACAATGTCCCCGTCGTACAAGTACCAATAGAACTTTCTGTGCGCTGTGATGTGATGGCTCGTGCGCAACGGTACACACTACCTCGTTGAACGGATAGGAGGACGGAAGTTGCGGGTTAGACACTCGACCAAAGCTTCGTCACGAAAAACTGCGATCGTTTCGAAAACGTCTGAAAAAATATTGGACTAGGATAAGAGTCTTTAGTGGTCTTCAAAGAAATAGTAAAGACAACTTGTGGAGTTCTGACACGTCTCCATCGTCCACAAACTGTTGGCACGAGAGGGAGGTTCAAACTTACCATTACACCACCAAGCGCACGGACCAGGTACTGTTGATGTTCGGTAACGACGGCTTCTAATTCTTTTAGTACTGAGTTTTGCTGATGATGTTGAAGGTCAAGTCTTGTATTTAGCTATGCTTGGAAGGAGATGAGATCCTAAGAGAAGAAGAGAGAAGAAGCAATGCGGTGGCCCGTTGTTCTCTCACCAATGCTGTCAGGTATCTAAAGTAAAAAAGAAGGCACCTAAAAGGAAACCAGAGATAGAAACATCACAACTGCCACTGCACGAGTACCCATTGCTACAGGTATCATTCTATTTTCTGTGCCCTTAACGGTTCCAAGCATTACTAGTTGTGAAACTGTAAACAACCGAGAAAGAAAGAAAATGAAAAGACGCCATTAACAGGATAGGTGAAACAAAAATCGAGAACGGTAAAACTAAGTAAGGAGCGTGATCCTGCCTTCAGTCCACTACACAACTTTGACGAGAGAAACATGTCAAGAGGAAAAGGCCCAAGAAAATATCCCGACATCATCACCAACTCACTCACAACCCCCCTTTCTCATTATCAGGATTCCCACTCGGCACCGCAACAAGACTCGTAGCCACAGCCGTAACCACCTCCGTCCCGCTAGTGTAAGTCATGGTCTCCAACAAACTCACCGTCCTATCACCCTCACCTGAATCACCACTGCCACTACCACTACCACTACCACTACCACTGCCACCACCACCGGCAGCACCAGACCCATCTCCAGAGCCACTACCAGACCCAGCAGAAGCAGAAGCACTAGGCGCAGCACCAACCCCAGTAAAGCCGGAAGAAGTCCAAGACCAAGTAAAGCCCGGGAAAGTAGTCGTCCAGCTCCACGACGACCCAGAAGCACCTCCAGCAGTACCAACAGGAGAATTAGCAGCAGTAACAGGAATAGCTGTTACCGTAACAAAGACAATACTGGGAGCTGGAGCCTGCGGGGCTTGAGCAGCTGTAATTGTCGTTGTTCCTGGCCCTGAACCTGAGCTACCGTTACCACTGCCGCCTCCGCCGCTACCGCTGCCGAAACCGGAACCGGAACCGAGGGTAATAGTAACCGTACTAGCCGCCACCGTCTGCGCCGTCTGGGCAGGTAGGTTAGCACCATTAGCGTTGGAATTGGTGACGGTGACGATTATAGGTGCAGGCGCAGTAGGTTGTTGTTGTTGGGCAGTGGCGGAAGGAATAATGATGGGGGCAGTGACTGTCGTGACGATGATGGGTGCTAGAGAACCGCCGCTGCCGCCGCTCCCATTTCCGGTTGAGCCGTTGTTGGCTACCTGGGCAGCCGAAGAAGGGGCTGGGACGATGTCGATTACTACCACCGTGGGAGCAGGTTGTGTTGCGAGGATGGGACCGTCGACTATGGTGGCTGTGCTGTCGGGGAGCTCTGCTGGTTGGGAGGCCATACCCACGGCGTCGATGATGACGGTTGTGGTGCTTGCGAAGGAATTGGAATTGGTGAGAGCCGTGACGGCGAGGGTGGTGGGAGCGGGGGCGGAGACGGGGTCGCCCGCTGCTTGGGTGATGCTCACTACGATGACGCCGGGAGCGCCGTTGGCGGCGGGGGCGTCGGCGGTGATGAGGACTGTTTGGGTCGTGGTTGGGGAGGCGGCACCACCGGGACCGGGAGGTACGACGACTGGGCCGGTGGCGGTTGTTGCTGAGGGTGGAACGACGACGGCGCTGGCGGAGCTGAGACCTGGGATTGGCGAGGTAATTGAGGGTATCACAACAGCGGCGCTGCTGGAGGAAACTGGGGCCGCTGGTGTTACGGGGGGAACAACTGCTGGGACTGAGGGTGCTGCCGAGGTGACTAAGGGGGCTGTGATAGTTGCATTGGACGGTGCAGGCAGGGGAGCAATGCTTGTGGCGTTGGGGAAGACTCCTGGAGCAGAGGAGTTGCCTGCAGCGACCGGACCGCCGGTTCCAGTGACGATGGGACCAGTGGGAGTTGGCACCGGAGGCGATACCGGAGGCTCAGTTCCAGGAGGAGCCGGAGGAGCGGATACTGGTGGTACTGATGCCGGTGGTACTGATACTGGAGGACCGGCTGCTGGCGGTGCGGAAGCTGGAGGGGCCGATGCTGGTGGCGCTGACGCTGGCGGAGCTGATGCCGGGGGAGCTGATGCCGGAGGAGCGGGGGGAGCCGTCGCTGGCGGCCCCGTCGCTGCTGAGTCCGTGTCGGCGCGGACCTCGGCCGGTGCACGGTTGATGGGATAGGTGAACTTCCGATGTTTGATGTGCTTCTCCTGGTGCTCTTCCTGATCATTGAACAGACTCCATCGTTTGACGAACCCACGAAGCCCGTTGGAGTAATGGTTTTCACTCTGTATTTGCCCTTGAGTGGACAGCTTTGGGGTGACCTGCTTGTTGTCCTGAGATTGTCTATGAGCTGGTGCAGCTATAACAGACGTGCTTGCTACAAGCAAAGCAACAGCCAACGTTGGCAGCTGCATTGTGTCTGTTTACTTGCTGTCTCCTCGGGCGTTGGTGGTTGATAAGATGATTCAGGCTTTTGTGTAAACGAGCGTGGTGTTTTGGTGTGAAGGGCTGCTTTGCTTCCTATACCAAGGGGGTATTGATCAGAGCAAGATATATAGAGGGACCAAAGCATGAGGAATATGTCTCTTGGCTGCCACTTGAACTTCCCCGATTACCATCAGTAACCATGCTGTCAGTATGGCCTTGTTCTCTCGTTCGGCCGTTCCGAAGCGTACAAGCTTAATACCAGTGTTGGGAAGACACACCTTGGACATGGCGTCATACAGATCTACCACCATCGGGAGTCAGCATGGATGATGCTACTCTTTGTATGGACCATTTTATCGCATCGTGATGAGTGATTTCCGGAGAAGAGCTCAAAGTACTACCAGTCAACGCGGCTGATTTCCCATGATGGTCGAGTACAGCCATTGCTTCTTTGGCCCCTTAGGATGAACAGAAAGACCCGTACATGTACGAGCAAGTCCCAAAGCCTGTTTGTGCCACAACAGCGAGTTGGCAGGTATGACTGTGACCCGAGGACAATGTCAGGAACCGTGAGTGCCCGTCGAGTCCTGTGACACTTTCACATATTTGGCACTTGCCATGTTCTTTGCAATCCTCCAGTTCTATTCAACTGGTTTCTTCGCAGCGCCGCAGTTGTGGCATGCGCTAGACGAATGAAGTCTTGCATAGACTGTCTTGGACTAAACTCCGAAGGCGACTTCAACATGAGACCAGCGAGGAAGTCGAAGAACCCTTTTCTCCGGAAATTGGCTGGAGGCACACCAAAATAAGGTGACGTGTTGGAGCGTGAGACTGAGAACAAATTTGTGTACGCGCATCATGAGACCGGTTTGACCGTCCGAGTTTACCTGGAGGTAAGGTCGTTGCACACGGACTGAGCACTAAGAAATCCATGTCCCTGACAAATGTGACGAGAACAAGCGATGGATGGCTGTTTCGTGACATTGTGGCCTCGATGATTCACAAGATGGTGAACACTCGCTCATCTCGACAATAACACAAGAGCAAATTGCCACCTATCAGAGTTTCGATGGACAGTCCGTGGATCTTTTTGGGTATTGTTGTGGTTCGAATCTCCTGGAAAACATTTAGTATGGGTGGGTATGATGACCCAAACAGGGGGTTCCATCCGTCCTCCACCTTCGAGAGGCTTTCTGGGAACGTCCCTCATGAAATATGACTGATGACTCAAAAAACCGCTGTAGTTGGCCATTCCAACCCCGAATGGAAGTATTGGTGTACTTTGGGTAATGCTGTCAGAGGGACGCGTTGCCCGCTATGGTGCGACAAAGTCAGCATCGCCCACATGGGAATGTCGCATCAGCGGCCTTGCTCAAACAGCGACAGTAGCTGGAAGGGTTTGTTGTTGGATTTGTGGGATCAAGTTGGCTGTAAAGATGAGAAACGTTCCAAAGCGTATGTTGGGAAGGGGCAACAGTTTCCCCAAACAGCATTGTGATAAGCTGGAGCAAGGGCTGCGTTTGATGCTTGATACTGTCGATCTCGAATGAACATGCAGTGACAATTACAGTTGAAGACTGGGGTCTTATAAATCTCGGTCGGCGTTCGAGGGATATTGGCTCATCGAGCTTTGAGAAGGCCAGGAGAAAATCGTGTAGTATTCTCGCATTCGCATGAACTAAAAGACGTTCTATGTGGTTGAGCGCGCTGTGGTAAAATCGTCCGATATCTTTATCGTCGGGATGTCCTCCAGGTATTAGTGGCCAATCTCTCAAATTGACATTCATTCAATTCGAATCGTCCGATGCTGGGACGGGATAGTTGTTTTACCCTCGGTTGAGTTGGTATGATGTGTGGTGATTGCTTTGAAATGGGTCATGATGCATTGCCCCTTCACTGGGAATTCATGGTGGTGCCGCGTATTGGGGATTGCTCCTTCTTCAATGGAAGCTCTCACAGCCACACCTAATGGCTGTTAGGTAAGCGACTGAGAGTGGATTTCCCTCCAAAAACTTCTAACGAGGGAAGGGAGCTGTGATATGAATGGCAGCAACATTGAGCCTTCACAGTTCAAAACGTGACTCAACATTTCTGAAGACGATGTAGCCATGTTTGCCTCATCTCACCTATCCCATGTTAGCCTCAGTCCCATATAGCCACGCTAGGAAAGATCAGATGAGAGACCACCGTCGATCCATCTTACCTATGGTGGGTGTAAAATGTAAACACCATTAGTTCCTTCTCGCCAAGCCTTTGAGTTATTTTTTTAGACTTGACCCAAACAGGTCTATATAAACCGCGAGATATCCGGGCTTCCCATCTTTTACTCTCACTTTCCTCTCTCACCAACACGAATTACCCATACACTCGCTTAACACACAATTTTGGTTGACGCCGATCCATACCATACCATTTTTGGGTGATAGTTTGGAATCAATATCACATAAGCACTTACCATCGTTAAGCTCAAGATGCCTTCAACAGCCACTGCCAATGCCTCCAAGGAAGCACCCAAAGACGCAGTTTTGGCCACGACCCTCAACCAAATCATGCCTTTGACGGACAAGGATTCTGGCAGCCCACCGAGCGAGCCAGTTCTCACCTTGATCTGCTCCTCCACAGATAGCATATCCCAAGACTCGGATCTGACAGCGAACATCAGCCCGGAAGTGCCAACGATGGACGCAGCAAATGTTCCTCTTCCGGACGAAGAATGCGATGAGGATCTGCTCGAAGTGGGTTCCTTTCACACTATATGTTTGTCACTTTGGATACTGACATCTTCCTTTAGATTCCACCTCTGGACGACCATGAGGGAAACATCTTGGAAAGTGATGCTGTCGAGATCGCGAATAGTGAACCGACAGAGGCGGACAACACCATCCGGGACCAAGATGATGCCCAACCAGAAAATGACAACCATCATGATGCGAGCTTGGCTTCGACGTGTTCAACCCCGAGCTCTCCCCAAACACCCAGGAAACACGATGGGTCGCAGACAGACGATGATGACCTTCATGGCAGCAGCATGACATCCATGTCTTCGATTGACAGTTCTCCGAAGACACCAGAGAAGGAGGAATCATTTAGTCACCCCTTCGTTGTTGAAGATTCAGGCCCAGATTTCTCCCTGGATGACCTGGACCTAAGCTCTCCAAACTGGATGGCGAACATCAACCAGTTTTTGGAGCAGCTTGGGGATCTTGAGCCAGAGAAGGATACCAGCGAAAAGGAGAAGTTGACACCTGATGTCGGAGTTGTTGATGGGGCTGAGGAGTATGACGGACCGATCATCGCCCTTCCGGACACACCCGACTACCACCCATTCTCCAACAATTTCCAAGTCCGCCTATCCAAGTACGGTGGGTTCGGAACCTTGGCCACCAGAGACCTCATGATAGGCGAGGTAATCCTCATCGAGAAGCCTCTCCTAAGGACGTCTCGCGACGATTTCTACAACAACTTCCTCAAGTTGTCCGACGAAGACCAGACGACATTCCTGAAGCTGTATACACCCCCTGGCGAGTACTCGAGTCTCAACGGAAGCGATTACAGCCACATCAGGGCGATCGTGGCCGCAAACTCCTTTGCCATCAACCCATATGGCAACAACATCATATGCGTGTACAACGTCGCCTCAAGGCTCAACCACGCTTGCCAACCGGTGGCCAATGTTCGCTTCGACTTTGGTTACCAGTTTGACATGAATGCCGAGAATGCAGATGTCATCAAGATGATCATCAGCAGAAAAGTGAAGGCTGGGTCGGAGCTGTTTATCAGCTATGGTGGAAGCCCCATGTCGCTCTATGAGCGGTACGGGTTCCGGTGCTGCTGCGGAGGGTGCGAAGGTGTGTCGGATGTGGATCTCGCCATCAAGAAGAAACGGGAGATGATGGGTTGGAAATATTGAGAAGTTGGGGAAATTTTCTGAAGCATTGGTGGTAAGAAATCGGAGTTGGAGATGCTTTGTGGGCTGGTCGTCTTGAAGGTTATCTTTATCTGGGAATCGATCAGCATGAATGATACCCTTTCTCCAAGTACCAAGGGGTGGAAACATGGAGGGTTCGGGTTGGACTATTTCTTATTTCACTTATCAGCATATGAATGGCTGTAGGAATAAACGCAGCTTTCCAATTGATGAGTCCGTGGTGCTTTGCTATCGTGAGTCTGGGCGTTTCTGATGGGTGATGTCGGCGTCACAGTCTGCGTTTGCGAGGGCTTCACCCACGTCGATCAGTGTTTAGCAGTGTGTTGCTCGATTTGAACGTTGAACAGTAGCATGATAAACATGATTCTAGAAGTTGGCGTAACGTGACTTTTTCTCGTTCCGTGAAAGAAATGATCATGACTGAGAATAATTATTGTCAAATGTCAAGAGGAGGGTCCAATGAAGTCCAGCGAAATGAAAGCAAATGATCTCCAGGTGGTGTGGGTCGCCGTCATAGGGCTGCTGCCGTTTTTCTGGGGGCGCACGAGCCCCCAAAAGACATCAGGCCAGGGGATCTACCAATCGGTGCTGTTATCGACCGCTGATCAATGTGATAAGCTCTCTCTCACCGCACTCGCTACGGCGCCGAGTCACTCCATCACCACTCGCGTCTTTCTTTGCGGTTTAGCCTTGTCTTTTTCCCCTCCTTCCCCTCTTTAACTTTTCGTTTGACTTGCGAGACATATTTTTTGGACGTAGACGCCAAAGTATTGTACTATTACTCTGTTTATCGTCGCGGCTGTTTCTCGACAAGACACGACACCAAAGGAACCAAGTGTTGACGGTAATGCATCGACACGTCTTTCTCCACGAGCCAACGCATAAACCGCGATCTTCAACCTCCAATTGATCTCGATCAGGCAGCGAGCTCTACCAGAAAACAATAATAGTCCGTTGGGCACCACAAGTTGTGGGAAGAAACGATCACCAGACCCGAAAACCAAGAAACTACCATCGATCTACCAAAACCCGAAATTATAGGTCTAATGGGCATATTCGGTTTCTTCTCCAAATCCCATCAAGACCCTCTCGAAGCCCACCTAAACGAGTACCACCGCCAACAGCAGCGGCCCGGCCCCACCCCTACCCAACAGCGCGAGTCCCGCCGCCGAGGAGGAGGAACGAGCAGCAGCGGCGGTGTCTCAACCCGGAGCAACCCTACCTCCCGGCGTCCTTCCCGTAGCGGCGGCCGCCGCAAGCCCTGTCATGTGCATAGCAGTAGCAATGGCAGCAACAAGGGCCCGTCCGCTGCGTCGATAGCCGCCGCGCTAGCTGCTCAGCAAACGGGTCCCTTGCCGAACTTCTTTTCCTTTGAGCAGGGTTCTGAGCGCGCGCAAGGACGATACCAGAATGAGTCAACACCATTGTTGGGGAGGTTCCGGGCTATGCCTGGGGGGCCTGGGAGGAGGAGGGAGTCGGATGATCACCAGGGACTGTTGTCTGCTGGGTGGAGGGGGAGTGTGCATGTCGGGTATGGCGCCTTGATGGCCGCTGCGGCGGAGGGAGGTGGGGAGTTTGACGAAAGTGGTAGCGAGGAGGAAGACGATAGTGAGGGCGATGGGATGTTGGACTCCGGGTTTCTGGGAGCGGGAACGATACAAGAACGGACCTTAACGAGGAGGGTGATGGTGAAGAAGTTCAGCAGAGCTCGCAGAAGGCTGTATTACACCTGGGTACACCCGAAGGCTTCGGTGATCAGGAGGGCGGTAGAGCATTGGTGGAGTCGATGGTTTGTCCTGGTAGTATTACCAGCCTTCTTGGTAAGCTGGAAGACTCCGGAGTTGTTCTGCGAACTTCGGAAAAATACTGACAACCGCTGTGTAGGCCGTAGCCTGGTGCGCGATACCATTCCCAAAATACCCAATACCAGACTACGACGACGGCCACGATCTGACCACACCGCCAACAGCACCTGGCGAACAACCAGGGCGCAGGACCCCCGGTCACGGAGCGGCGCGCGTGCAGGTCAACTTCTGGTTCTTCCTCTTCGTCTATTACAGCTTCTACAACTTGACGGCTCTAATATGGATCACGAAGGTCTTCAACCTATACAGTCTCAATTGGTGGCCCAAATCCCTCGGGTTTCCCCTAACGGTCTTCACGATTGGCGTCATATCGCTAGCAGCACCTATACCTCTCTATGTCATCCCCGAACTACGTTGGCTTACTGCTCACAACACAGCATGGATTAGCTGGACCTTCGTCATCATGGCCATGCCCGTCACCATCGCTTTCTGCATCCTTATGACTAACGAGCGTCACCTTAAGCTGCGACATTCGCTTTCCGAAACCCAGCGTATCTTCACATCATCGTGGTGGGCCGGCGAATCTGGAAACAACAGCCGCCGGGAATCGACGCGGCGGGCCGGATTGACAGGCTCGTTCGATACCGCGGGCGCAGAGCTTGGGTTTGAGGAGGGCCTCAGCCGGCGGCCTTCGGTACCCGTCCGAATCAGGCGTAGATGGCTTCCCGCGAGTTTTGTCCGTTTCGTCTGGTTCTGTCTGGCATTGTCAATCGGCCTTCTTGCCTATGTGATAGGAGAGGCGTATGCTGAGATTTACCTGCGTACGCTTCCGCATAACAACTTGGAGACTATCGTCTATGTTTATGGATGGGTCTCCACGGTCTATCTCCTCGACGGGCTGACAGGTTGGATTTTGGGTGGCAACGAAGGCGAGAGAGTCGGAAGCTATCCGTTAAGCTTCATCTTCAAGCTGTTAGTAGCCACCTCCTACCCTTGACCCTTGGCTAACCCTCGCTAACCCCCCAACTCCCCACGCAGCTATTTCATGCTAACCTACCAAACCTACGTGCGCGCCCTATACGCCCGCCTCCGCTCTCCACAACAGTTCGTGATGCTTCAAGTCCTCTCCTCCACGACCTTGATCATCGTCACACCCATCCTCATGTCCCGCCCCGTCCACTGGTTCCTGACCAATACCAACCTCAACGGCCAATCCTACGGCTCCTACCAGAAGATCTGCATCCGCAACGTCTTCATCCGCTTCGTCGCCGAAAACGCGTCCATGCTTGCCTTTCTGGGGAGCGTCGTCATCCTGCACTTTGGTCCAAACAAGGACGTGTACCCCTACTTCGCTTTCGACGGCGAGCCGGACGACACCTCGGACTTTGACTTCGGTCTGACGTTCTATGCCTCCAGCATAACCTGGGCGTGCGAGTTGGCGGCTGGATTCATCGTCTCCGGGCTGATCAGGCTCATCTATGGCGTCAGTGTTGTGACGGAGGGAAAACTTGATTTTGCCGTGTGGCCCGAGTTGCTCCCGACCAGTGTGGCGGTGGTGTTGCATGTATTGCAGAATATGCTGTTTTCCATTGTTCGGTTGCAGTTTCACTGAGCAGCAGCAGCAGCAGTTGTTTGTTCGTTTTTATCGATAGACTGGTTGGCTTGATACCCCTGGGGTGCTTATGCTGGGAACGTTAAGGATGGGAGGCGAACGACGCGTTATTGTTAAACGTGGAAGTGGACCTGGGAAGAAGTTGTCGGGTTGGGTCCGTATCAGTTCCGCAGGTTTGTGTGTGCCGGAGCACCGGTTCGGTCGGTGACACGACGCCGTTTTTGTCGCTGCAACTGTGGAAGAGTCAATGGGAAAGAAGAAAAGGAGGTGAAAAAGACGGACAACCGGATGAAGGAAACTGATGCGGATGTGAAGAAATATCCATCAGCCTCATCCGCTATCACCACCTTTTCAGATCCCACACCAGCCATCGCTCAACATTTCGTGCGCGCGCAAAGAACAGCACAGCCACCTTAACTCGCTATCACAAAAGGAACCAAACAAGATGTCGTGTGTTGACGGCTAGCGGAAGTGACAGAAGAAGAAGAGAGTGGTGGGGTTTTGTCGTACGGCGTCCTTTTCAAGGAAAGGAGGGTAGGGATACGCGCAAGATTTATATTAATCGGTGTAGATGCGGTTTTGATTGCGTGCGGCAGTCTATCACCGTCACAATCATAGCAGCCGTCAGGTTCATTGCGGAAAGGAGGCCCAGACCTGGGCCTATGGAAATGGTGGTCACACCACATCCGTCCGCGCGGCGGGCGACAGCGGGCAAACAGGAGCATGACATACTACATACACACATACGGCCATCCATCCGATGCACCACACACACGCGCGCGCGCTCACGAACGAAACGCACGACATTACGATTACGATGATGATTATTGGAAAGAAGAAAGGAAGGAGGGGAAGACACGAATGAATTTGACGGCCAGACATGAACACCAGCATGAACGCTTCCACGACAACGGAATCACAGAACAGAAAGATAAACTATCTTCCTTTTGAACAACACACGAAGAGCCACACCAAGGACCGCATAGACGCGCAAATTCAACATAAACGACTTACTGGTTACTCTCGACTACAACGCGTGTAGCCTTTCTCGGCTACCTACCAACTTGCTTTCCATTGCTACAACTTTTTGCAGTTTAGGCGTTAGAGTTAGAAAAAGAGATATACCACTTCAGAGTGAGATTGAGAGTAAAGAAGAGAAAAGAGGGGTAGAAGAGAAGAGAGGGTTGAATGATTCCCGCTTAGAGAGTTAGAATAGATCATATAGCATGTTTCTGTATACCATTCGCATTACCGAACCTCTCACGACTACTGAAACCACATCCACTTTCTGACACTCGTGTTATATCATGTCATGCCAGGTTAAGTGAGTGTGGTATGCCGTACCTGTTCTGGCCCCTCTGTCTGGGTACTTGTTCCGGAATGAGGGGAGAGGGTGGGTGGGATGGTGGGATTCCCTTGTCATTTTGCCTAGTGGTAGCTACCTTATACGAGAAACAGGTGACTGAGTAAGTGAATGAGTGACCTATCAGATTAAGCTATTCTATCATATGCATTATGTTATGGCATGGCTAAGACTCCCAGTTAGTCCCAAAACGGCATTGGTAGGTAGGTAGGAGTTTTATCTGGTAAACCTGATGCAAATGGCGATTCTATGTATGCTTCGATATACTTTTCAGCATTCCAGGTTGACTTCAGTCCAGGTTGCTGATATGGCGACGAAGTGGTCGTAGCATTTGCCAAGACAAGAGAGAAAGAGTGAGAGAGTACCTTGATGGCTAACCTCAACCGTCACTCTGGTACTCTTTCTAGGGCGGTTCTTTCTAGAGCAGTTCTTTCCCTTTCCAATTATGCTTGGGATTGTACCGTCATCCTTTTTCAAGTTTTCTTTCAGCTCCTTCAGTTATTAACAGCATTACATTTCATTCCAGGTTCCATGTATCAAGCACTCGCTGTATGAGACCTTTAACGGTAGTGTAGTAGGTCACTCGAACATGCCCTTCATAAAGAAACCCAGCTACTGATATTCGCATCGACCGACGGATCTCTCAAAACAATAACCCACACATACGATCATAGATGGTAGGCGAAAACTCGGGATCCCGTCCGCTCTCCCCTAGATAAGCTACCAATCGCCTGGCTAGTAGTCGGATCGGTGACGACCGGTGAATAACCAGGTGTTGTATGTTTTCTTCTTCTTTTCTCTTTTTTTCTTTTTTCTTTTTGGGTTACCTTGGCTTTTATCTTTCTTTTTTTTCTATTTTGTCTGTCGATTTCTGTAGTTGTTCTAAGAAGCGTCCAGACATGATATGGTAGACTCACGATCACAGGTACCTCTGGAGTTTCCCAAACCCGAGCAACTACAAGAACCTTCTTTGGTAGAAACATAAAACAGGTAGACGTGCTTGTTCGTCTTATAAGACTCAGGCATCCACCAATTTGATGTGCAGCAGAGATGGGCAGCAGAAAACACACTTTCTATTATGTTATGCAGTGTAATCCCATCAAGCGCATGTGGGGATCGTATGTCCGATGCCAAGACGATGTTGCAGTATCTGATCCGGACCTGAACCGCGAAGGGTACAGGGCAGGGGAAGGGGGTGTGCATGATAAAGTGGTGGTGGTGGTGCTGTAATATATTATCATGCAGGTGTTCCAAAACGTGTTTTATATGGTGACGACAGCCAGCTGAAGGTATGGGCTTTTGGTCAAATACCTGAAGTATAGGTCGTCCTACAGTCACGGAAGGTGGGTAGTGAGTGTCATCCGGGAGACAGACGGAAATTACCTATAGCTCACAGCCTCCATCAGCTTCTTGTTACTACTGAAGTAAGGTCAGACTAGGCAGTGCGAGAATGTTGCATTTTTATCCCCTGATTGATTGGAGAGGATGTTGCAATCACCGTTAACCGAAACGGATGAAAGAGCAGGATTTTGATATCTGCTGGCCAGCGAGAGATAGTGAAGTGCCAGACACAGATATGAACGTTAACATGGGACGGCTTCTGGCGGCTGAGGGGGGCGTGCCCTGCTTCGCTGTGTATAGGAGCATTGGATATAGCCTATAGATTACCTACCTTGGGGGGAGGCGGCGTGGACAGAGTAAACGAGAAGAGTCATGTTTTCGGCAAAGGGGTGTGCTGGTGGCTTTATCTTTTCCTGCCCAGCCTTATGAACTGAACGTCTCTGTCCGTTCCCCTTGATCTGCAACGTAAAAACCCGGTAATTCGGGCACATCGGTATGGTATCGCCGGACTGAGCGAGTTTAATGTTCGGTTCCGAAATGGCGGCGTAAGGATAACCATGTCTAACCTTGAAGAATATGGCTCGCTCGGGGAGTCCTGGTGAAGCAGATTTTGTTCGGATGGGAGCTAGCAAAGTCAATAGTGCACGCCTTCGGCGGGGATCTCTCGAAGTTCGGGGGAATGTCAAGGGGTGACGGCGTGGATCGGATGCCATGAGGAGGTGAACGTGTGGCGGTCAGGATGTTTTTGCTGGGTCGGGTATCGCTCATCCCGCAGGCTAATCAGGGGTTGTCGGCAGTAGGCCTGGGGCTACCGGCCTTCTAGAAATCTTGGCCCCGCTTGTGGAAAAGAGCGCCCCATGTCCGTGTCGGCAGTGTCGAGCAGAGTGTCGAGCAGAGTGTCGGGCATGTGTCGCAGGTCTTGGAAGAAATGCTCATCGTCATCTCCTCTCCTCGTATCTTTCTTTTTTGGATCGTCGTGCATAAGAACCTGTTGATAATTCTGGCCCAATGGAGATAGCACGGTGAGTCAAGACTGTGTGACTAACAACACACGCGGCTACGGGAGCCTTTTTGTGTGGTACGCTATCAATCTAAATGAGTAAAGAAATCACCGTCCCGTGGGGGTTGGAGATCACGTAAGGAGGACGACGGGAGTTGACAAGTGTACAAGTAGGAATGTGAGACTGGAACCTCGGGAGCTCTCACCCCGCAGCCACGACATGATTGTAGGCCAGTGACAAGACAATGTTGGGGCATATCGTCGTCGAGTGGATGTCGCACGATATCGTAAAGGTGATGCGATTCATGAGCAGAGAAGAGAAGGCGTCGCGGCGGTCGTTGTTGACCGAGCGGAGAGGGCTTGTTGCCATGCAGCTGCTGTGCAAGGATGGTACATGATGCAGTGCATGCCGCGTTCCCAGCCCAAGATTACACTTTGCAGGAGCCTGGTGTCGATGCTTGGTTGATGGATGTTGAAAAGTGAAAATTGAAAGGTCTCGAATCCCGCTTCAAAAGAATGGCTGCCTGCTTCCTGCTGCCTGCTGCCTGCTGCCTGTTGTAAACTGCTCTTTCCTTGCTCCATGTCGTACTTGTGTCGATGTTGAAGAAGGAGCGCGGATGGGAATTTCGATTGTCAAGAACAAAAAGCACATGCACAATGGGCAGGTGGGGTTGAGCTTTTTAGTTTTTTGAGCCCCACAAATGCCCACACCTACCCCACCTTTTCAGCGAGCAAGGTCCCCCAATCGGCCACGCTCGTTGCATGGACTCATGGCAAGACGGGACGTGAGCCCCTCTCAAGCTCATTCTTCACAACGGGAACACTACACCACCCGCCATTACGCCCGCCTGCCTTTTCCGAGGTCTATCATTTGCTGGCCCTCTATTATCATATTATATTTTGAATTCGCTCCTACTTGTGGTCGGTCGAACAGCGACTTGTCGTCGGCCTGCTCTACGTGATTGGGGGCACGGTCAAGACCAGCTTACGTTAATAAAATAACAACTTCGTCTCCATCAGACCAGTCCAGAACCTCGAGACTGCGAAACACATTCAAGGGGTAGTAATCCACATTGCGATATGTACCTTACACTATGGCCAATGCCAGGTACGTTCGGCTATCCATCGCCATCGTTGATCAAGCTGTTACGCTGCCGGTTTTACAACGTCTCGGTGATATGGCTCCGTGATATGGCTGCTGCTGCCGCTGACCGTTAGCGATAAACCTGGAAACAACCATTGAGGGTCTCACCGACTCCACTCTACGACGGGCCCCTCGGACGGTGCCGCGGCTCCATCTGACTCTTTCCGGCTACGGACCCGCCCATTTTACCATCTTTTTTTTTCACTGCGGTCGCCGTTGTGCGTGTTTGCGATTTGCGCCCGCCTGTTCTGCTGGGCGATAATTGGATCGTCTTCGCTTCCGCGCCGTGTCCGTTTTTTTTCTCTCTCTTTTCCCTTTTTTTTTTTTTTTTT